GCGGGGTGGTGGTACCTACCCGAGCGGACTCCCAAGAGGTCCTACCACCAGTGATTACGCAAATTATAATTTTGCGGGTTTGATTTTTATTACACGATGTTATTCCTTCACCGTTGAACATTTGTTGAGTACGTATTTCATTAGAAAAATTGGTACCCGCCTGCGGGATTCCAACACCGGTGCATCGCTACACACGAATGCACCGGACGTCTTATCCTTTAGGCAACGACGACTTCAAAAATAATCGTACGTAAAATAAACAGAGTCGAGAAAAGATATTGCAATATGCAATGAGATAATAAATTCATTGATAAGTTAAAGATAACGAAATCGAGATAATGTGTGATCTAAAACACGGTAAATACGTAGGTTCGTACGAAGAGCACGTCAATTGATAAAGTTGTCATAGATGTTGTCATGTCTTCGTTAATTTTCGTCATTTCGATTTTTCATTTAATTTTAAACGAGGTGAGATTTGATTTTTAAGAAAATTAGGTTTTATTCGAAAGCATTTTTATTAGTTTTCATAGTTAACAACCGGTGAGTCGACGAAGGGTTTTAGTTTTTATTTATTGTGCCTTATATCGGAGAATCAGGGTGCCCTGTGAAGATGTTTGAGTTGGTTCTGTCATCTCTTTCTCTCGTCACAACAGCGGCTACCATAACCATGCTCATCACACAGTGTGGCTCTAAAAAGAAAGGCTCTCTTCTCTTCAGTATTCACACGAAAAACTATTGTATTCAGATTAAAAGATAACAGACAATTATTGTTTTCGCAAAACTGATTGGCATGTTTTTTTCAGGTAAATTCCCATGTCGCCGCTCCGCCCCATTACATAGTCACAGGAATTCCATATCCAGCTAATCCAGCTGCCTATCCACCCAGGCCAGCACCAATCAACCGCCCAGCTGAGCCACCAACCATCACACCCACGCCATGTGAAATAGCCCCAAAACAGACAGCATTGGATCCGAACGTACTGAACAACTTGGCCATAGCGCTACAATTGCTAATAGTCAGCAACCTACTTAATTATCCGAAAGAGAACAGCGAAATTATTTCAAATCTGGCTAGAGCCATTGAGAAGTTGCCCGTCGCACCCCATTATCTTCAAGAAACGCTAAAGCACGAACCCAAATATATTCTAGAAGCTGCCAAATTTGAACCAAAATATGAAATAGAGCCGTATTACACAGGGGAACCGGTGCCGTTGTCCAATTCAAAGTACATTGGTTCTTATGAGCCGAATGTTTTCCGCGCGTATGACTCAAATGCGAGACGATCATCTCGATCCCACGGGGCCCTGATGTCGCCTTACGAAGCCATTAACAGTAGTCCGTCATTTGGTGAATCTTTTCCCTCAGTATATGGCTCGCCCTCAAAATCTTTGTACGTCGTGGACAAAGACCTCTTCGGAGCTTCAGATCTGTATTAGCATCTTAGTATTTTAATTCATTGTGTGTGCTGAATAAATTTTAATTTATTGTTTTTTATTTTTGTGTTCTCTTTGTTCAAACAACGTCGGAAATTTGGCACTAGTGCCTGATCTCCCCGGTCAGAGACCTAGAGATAGACCCAACACAAGGTGGAAAGATGTAGTGCTGAAGGGCCAAACGGAATGCAATGTTGCTGTGGAGGATTTTGTATATTGCCCGTCTAGGCAGACGAGCATGCGGCCCACCTGATGGTGAGTGGTTACCGTCGCTCATCGACATCAGCAATGTCAGGGGCAGAGCCAAGCCGCTGTCTACGGTTTAATAGTCTCCGCAAACCTCGTTTGAAGAAGGACATGTCATAGCGCTCAAGTCGAAAACAGAGCAAAGTGGAGGAGTAGAATAAGGAAAGTTGACCCCACCACCATGAGGGATAAATAGCTAGGAAGAGAGTGAGGGTTATCTCTGTTCGAACATGAAAAAATTAATTAGCACTTTCAACGAATTAAAAACCAATTGTTTTGCATTAGAAACGGAACGCATTGTATATGACTTTTGACTTAAATAATCTCTCAATTCTGTCAAAATTTCATTGACATCAAACAAAAAAGAAAGGGGATTTTATGAAATCGTGGCGTATAGGTATTGTTTTTTTTTTTTGTTTTTTTTTTAACACGTCCATTGTGTTACTGTTTCCTGATGGCAGGACGTCAAAACCGCGCTGCTTCGCTCGACACTGGAGGCAACTGTGTCCACATTTCTATGGCTATAGGTATATTCAAGAACGGACTTTTGTGAGGTCTACCAGGTCTCGTACGCACTAGCAGAGAGTCCCAGAAAAATAATCCCGCAGTTAACATGTCATGCAATAAATAATAGATTTAAATATTTCTTAGGGAATTTAATATTTAAAAAAAAACCACTATTGATTCATGTTTCTTTGCCACAAAAAGGACAAACAGTACCTTGAGGCATCTTGTTTGACTTTTGCTTTCGTCTTCACGATAAGAGGATTGGGTTAGATTTATGGAATGAATTATGAATACTGATCAAATTTCAGTTCACGCTTTGGATGCCGCTTAAAAAAATTCTGTTCTTAGAAATTGAGAGACGCTATTTATAATCAATCCCTGTATTTGTGCCTTTACTGGTATGCACCTTTTTTATTGCTAATACAGGTAAACAAGCTTACGGCCCAACTGGTGTTAAGTGGTCGCCGGAACTCATAGATATAAAGCACATTATTATCGCCGCCCATCCTGAAACATTAGTTCTAAAACCTCACTTTTTACAATACAACGGCTGCTCCACTCTTTAAACGGAAACGCATTATTGCTTCACGGCAGAAATAGGCAGAGCGGTGACAAGACGCCCTACCACCAATAAAAGTCATCCTACCATTAATTTGTTAACCAGATTTTCTTCATCTCCGATGCCACAGTGCGCCGCCTGGTCGAAGTTCTGAAAAGAAGGCAGTGAAAGTGACCACTTAGCTTTGGAGGCCAGTGTGCTAGCCTGTTTTCAATGACAATAAAAAAATCAACACGTGCTCACCATACTACGAAATATTCCTTTTTTTATTGCCCTTGTAGGCAGACACGAGCATACGGCCCACCTGATGGTGAGTGGTTACCGTCGCCCATGGACTTCAGCAATGCCAGGGGCAGAACTAAGCCGCTGCCTACCGCTTAATACTCTCCACAAGCCTCGTTTGAAGAAGGACATGTCATAGCGCCCGGGAAACACCGTGGAGGGGAGCTCATTCCATAGTCGGATGGTACGTGGCAAAAACGACCTCTGGAAACGCACTGTGGATGAACGCAGTGGCTCCAGGTAGTATGGATGAACTCTACTCCGGTGGCGGGCGGTGCGATGGTAAAAACGAGATATCATCTCGAACAATTCCTCAGAGCATAATTAGCGACTATAACACTTAGATATAATACTCAGAAACTAAGAGGAGGATTCCTCTGGGCTGGGCAGCGTTCGGCCAAGTACGTGGTGTCCTATCATCTCAAATCCCATAGTGCCCGAAAACAAAAGCTTTCAACCAGTGCTTCCTGCTGTACTCACAATACGGCTAGTCCATCAGCTGAAGGTCGCTCAGCGAGCCATGGAAAGAGCTCAAAGCTTCATTGAAGAATAAAATGAGAAATGAGGCTATTCAACAGAGAAATCAATTCGCCAATATAGCTGGGAGAGTCGACAAGTTGAAACCGCAGTTGCAGGAGATAGATAGATAGATATAATAAAATATAATAATATAGATAGATATAAAGATTAGGGTGGGCCAAAAAAACTTTTAATTTTTTTCTTTAGGTACTATGAAAATATCTAACTAAAGAAAGAAAAAATAAGGTTTTTTAAGGTACCAAAATAACATTTTTGACAATTTTTGTCTGTCTGTTTGTTTGTTCCGGCTAATCTCTGGAACGGCTGGACCGATTTTGACGCGACTTTCACTGATAGGTAGCTGATGATATAAGGAGTAACTTAGGCTACTTTATTTAGTCTAGCTTCGCCCCGCGGCGTTACCCGGTCACGTCAGGGTAACAACGCGGGACTCAGCTATCAATAATAAAATTTAATGATTCCGAAGCGATGCTAGTAAATAAATAAATATAGATTATCTTCGTGCCAAACTTAATCCAAATAGGCCGAGACATTTTTGTATGATTGAGTAGCTAGCATGAAAACGGAGATAGCCTAAAGGATGCGAGGTTGAAGTGGCAATGGGCAGGGCACATTGTTCTTAGAATAGATGACCGCTGGGGGCAAAAAGTTCTCGACTGGCGACCCGGTTCGTGGTACCAGAAGACGTAGCGCGGTAACCCTCCCCGTGGTGAAACAACGACCTGATGATGATCGTGGGAATCCGCTGGATCCAGGCATCGCAGGACCGGTAGCGGCCTGATTTTAGGGAGGCAAATATCCAGCATTGGACGTTTGAGGATTGAAAGAGAAAGAGAGAGTGAGAGAACTTAACAAACATCCAAACTTGAGTCGGCGCGGTAGGTACCACCCTGCCTATTTCAGCCGTGAAGCCGTAACGCGTTTCGGTTTGAAGGGTGGGGCAGCCGTTGTGACTATACTGAGACCTTAGAACTTCTATCTCAAGGTGGGTGGCGCATTTACGTTGCAGATGTCTATGGGCTCCAGTAACCACTTAACACCAGGTGGGCTGTGAGCTCGTCCACACATCTAAGCAATAAAAATAAAACTTGGCGGGATTCGAACCCGCGACCCCCTAATGTAGTGAACATGTCACTTACCACTACACCAGACGGCCGTTAAGAATAAAAATGTAACTGGATATTTTCTAGCACGTTTTCATTTCTCTGCCTGTGTCTTCCGATTGCAATTGCAATAGATGCAATCACTTAATCATTGATTACATTCACAAAAATAATGAGATATCGAAGCCTTATCATCATTTGCTTAATCATTAATCTGATAATAATTGTGTAATTATACAATTAGCATGTATATAACCATAACAATCGGCTGTACTGCGATATATTAGTTAGATAGTTATTGTTAAACTCGTTCTGATAGTCTGAGTTCTAATGGAATCACTAAAGGTTTTCTGTTTTGCTCTTATGGCGGTATCAGACGTAAGTTTTATATTTATCGGTCCCTCGGCGATAGTTATTGCGATGATATATTTGGTTTTGTATGGGTCGTTAGAGTGTGTATCTGAAATTTGAAGTGTGCGCAATATATGAACGGTTTCCGTGTTCGAGGAATTTAAATCGAACCCGCTAATAGATTTCTGTTGGTAGGACGGAATGTGTGTTTATAGATAAACTAGACGATGACCGAGCTTTGTTCGGTTTTTTTTTTAATAACGCCATCTTGTTGTGTCTTTAAAGCGGTTAGTTGCCCTCAATTAAGAAAAATAGTATTATTATTCGCCAATAGATGTCTGCAAGAGCTGATTATTGAAAACACGAATAAAACAACATTTTCTGAAAATAAATCGTAGCTAGATCGATTTATCGCCCCCGAAATCCCCTGTATACTAAATTTTATGAAAATCGTTGGAGCCGTTTCCGAGATTCAGATTATATATATATTAATACTTATATACAAGAATTGCTCGTTTAAAGGTATAGGATTTGTAAAAAAAAAGAAAGAAATAGTGCGCATGCACTTTCACTGGTACACGTGAAAGAAGTGAAACTTCTTTTGCAGTCTATAGTATTATTGTGCTTTTCTTCATTTCTCATCCTTAAATCAAATTTATCTTGTAATAGGGAATGCTGTGTATAAAAGAAACGACCTAATTCACTTTGTCCTTTCCCTCCCTCGACGGTCGAGTGGTTCACGAGACGCTCTGTCTATTTTCTCATTCCCTCTTTTCCTAAATTGTATCTTTTCTCTCTAGCCGTAACGAATCTGTCGCGAATTAAATTTTAATCTCAACGCGCCTAAAGAAGTTTCACTTCAAAAACATTTTGATTTAATTCAGTTTTATTTTTATTGCTAGATGTGAGGACGAGCTCACAACCTACCTGGTGTTAAGTGGTCACTGGAGCCCATAGACATCTACAACGTAAACGCGCCACCCACCTCGAGATATAAGTTCTAAGGTCTCAGTATAGTTACAACGGCTGCCCCACCTTTGAAACCGAAACGCACTACTGCTTCACGGCAGAAATAGGCGGGGCGGTGGTACCTACCCGTGCGGACTCACAAGAGGTCTTACCACCAGTAATTTACGGCCTGAGTCATTTAAGCGATTATCTCCATTAATCTTCTCTTAAGGAGAATGGTCTCGCACAAAAAAGTCGGGGTTTTCCATGTGGAATCTTTGTGGTTCAACAATCAACAACTATCTAATAACAAATTAATTTATTCCAGGTAGCCAACGCCCAGTGCATAAACCGGATGTTACCTTTGCAGACAAGCATTCTGCCGGTTTCCGAAACGGTAATACCGAACCCGGCCAACTATGTAACCGCTTGCAACCTAGATTACGGATTAGACGCGTTATACCAGAACCCTGCAACCACCATCATACAGGACAGCACGGTCGCGAACAACCTAGCCAACGCTCTACAACTAATGGTCGTTAGCAACCTGTTGAGTAATACTTTGCCCGGTTGTAATGACGTGGTCGTTCCATTCGGGACGGTTGATTTCGCCCCTATTCCGAACTGCAACAATTACGGCGGCTACAACTATATATTTTGATTGTTTTTAAATTAATTATCATTATTGTATTTTTATTGTTTTGTTAAATTTTAAATAAATATTTATTAATAATTTTATTTTGAGTTTTAATGTCTCTTTAGAATCTCGGGTTAGGTATTTGTCAATTCTGCTCTTGTCACTTGATTTCATTTATATGGCAGTAATTTTCGGCCACCTTTTTTTTTATTGCTTAGATGGGTGGACGAGCTCACAGCCCACCCGGTGTTAAGTGGTTACTAGAGCCCATAGACATCTACAACGCAAATGCGCCACCCACCTTGAGATATAAGTTCTAAGGTCTCAAGTATAATTATAACGGCTGCCCCACCCTTCAAACCGAAACACATTACTGCTTCACGGCAGAAATAGGCAGGGCGATAGTACCTACCCGCGCGGCCTCACAAGAGGTCCTACCACCAGTAATTACGCAAATTATAATTTTGCGGGTTTGATTTTTATTACACGATGTTATTCCTTCACCGTGGAAGTCAATCGTGAATATTTGTTGAGTACGTATTTCATTAGAAAAATTGTACCTGCCTGGAATTCGAACACCGGTGTATTTGACACGCACACATATATATACTCTTTGTTTATTATCAAACTTTTGTTATTGCCTGGTCTATGGTCAAATTGAGAATAGGTTAATATTGTTTATCTGTAATATTGTTTGTCTATAGTGTAGTCTTGGCGAAATCTGTGATTATAGAAGTATATAGGTAGTCTTTGATTATAGTCTTTTTTTTTATTGCTTAGATGGGTGGACGAGCTCACAGCCCACCTAGTGTTAAGTGGTTACTGGAGCCCATAGACATCCAGAACGTAAATGCGCCTCCCATCTTGAGATATAAGTTCTAAGGTCTCAAGTATAGTTACAACGGCTGCCCCACTTTTCAAACCGAAACGCATTAACGGCTTCACGGCAGAAATAGGCAGGGTGGTGGTACCTACCCGCGCGGACTCACAAGAGGTCCTACCACCAGTAAGAACAATAGACAATAGAACTTTGACAATAGAACCATAATAATGTTAAAATTTATAATTTAAATTAATTATAGTCGAATTTCGACTGCTGCGGGACCACTAGTAACTGGAATAGCCGCTTTGGCTACCGAATACAGTCGAATAGGTAGGGAAAAGAGACCACCTAAAGTACACAAATAAATCATTTTGTAAATTTCATGCGTGAACTTCAGGTATGTGCAAAAGGAAGACGATTTGCCAAAAAAATAATGAAAAATAGCAACTGTTACAACAGAAAGTAGGACTAAAATTAGTCCTGTCGGGAACAACATTTCCGACATTCAATTATTTAATTACCAAACTTATTTTTTATTGCTTAAATGGATGGACGAGCTCGCAGCCCACCTGATGTTAAGTGATTACTGGAGCCCATAGACATCTACAACGTAAATGCGCCACCCACCTTGAGATATAAGTTCTAAGATCTCAGTATAGTTACAACGGCTGCCCCACCCTTCGAACCGAAACGCATTACTGCTTCACGGCGGAAATAGGCGGGGTCAACAATTATCAAAAAAATAACCTCCAATTCTAGAATATGTGATTTGAGAAAAAATAATAAACAAACATTGTCAGTGATAGTTATATTTCGTATAATACAACAATTAAAAAAAGCGCTTGGAACGAGAGATCCTTAAACTTCTAAAGGACTGAATGCAAATTACATGCTATTAGGCTTTTAGTTGGGGGTCCCTCGCCACCTTACTGCACTCCTTCAGTCATTATACTACAACAGCCAGGGAGTAGTGAGAATCGATAGGACTGCATCTGACTCGTTCAAATTTCACAAGGGCGTGCGGCAGGGCTGCATCCTGTCACCCATCCTATTCAATATTTACGGCGAATACATCGTCAGTAAAACATGCGATGGATGGGATGGTGGTATTACCGTCGGAGGCTGTAAAATCTCTAACTTACGCTACGCTGACAACACCACTCTCCTGGCAGCCAGCGAAATCGAGATGGGCAAGTTCTTGGACAGGATGGAGCGCATTAGCAAAGACCTCGGACTCGCGATAAACAGATCTAAAACAAAGGTCATGATCGTTGATCGCACAGGCAGACTGGAGCTCAGCGGTACACTTAATTTAGAAGTAACGGACAACTTTGTTTACCTAGGCTCCAACATCAGCAACAATGGCTCTTGTGAACCGGAAATTCGCAGACGGATTGGGATGGCAAAAGGTGCTATGTCTCAGCTGGACAAAATATGGAAGGACAAAAATATCTCTATGAACACCAAGAGCAACCTAGTCCGCACACTAGTGTTTTCAATATTCATATACGGAGCAGAGACATGGACTATAAAGAAAGCTGACCGCAATCGGATTGATGCCTTCGAAATGTGGTGCTGGAGGAGGATGTTGGGTATTCCCTGGACCGCACGCCGCACCAATTTATCCATCCTAGCTCAGTTGAAGATCCGGACTAGACTCTCCACCATTTGCATGCGAAGGATTCTTGAATACTTTGGCCACATCGCAAGGAAAGACAGTGACAACTTAGAGAAATTGATGGTCACTGGAAAGGTCGAGGGCAAGCGACCAAGAGGCAGGAACCCGACCCGTTGGACGGACCAGATTCGTGCAGCCCTGGATACCACAGTGCACGATGCTCTGCACTCAGCTGCAGATAGGAACAGATGGCGGTGCACTATAAAAAACAATCTGTTTCAAGGCCATGACCACGACCCTCAGTAATGAAGAAACCGACGCAAGGAGGAGGAGGAGGCTTTTCGCAAATACTACACACTGCATGTGAATGTCTTTCTTTCTGTAGCTTCGTTTGTCTTTGTAACATAACACACTGCTTAAACCCATTAAGCTGTTAAGGCTCACAGTAATAAAATTCACGAAATATGTTATTTCACAAAATCATTGCCGTTTTCTTAGTGACAATAAGCGGTAGAACCATACCATAGCCGGCTAATATCTTATCGATCATCGCCTGATTGGTACCAGCTTCGACCATGTTTGGATTTGTTAGGGTGTATTGTGGATCTGCATTCAGTATGATAATGCTTTGTGGGGATAATGACGAAGATCTTCCACTGAGCTGGTGAAATTACTCGGTAGACCGACGGTCCATATGTTGTTGTTCGGAATTAATATATATATATATGCAAGTTTATCTTGAAAATGTCGTAAGCAAGATTCAGGCATCTGTCAAATATCTTGTGTTCTATGATGACTACCCGTCAGAACTTCCTGCACTTTCTGTTTCGATGCATTCCAATGACCTATCATTCATATTCTCTCTATAGGAATAAAATATGAACGAAACAAGTAAATCGTTGGTCAAATAAAAAAATCCCATGCAACTTCTTCCGATACAAGGTTTTGCCTTGTCTAATTATTCAGACCTTAGCTATGCTATTTTAATTTCTATTGGGTCTAACTATATTTGTAAAAGCTTCAAGATAAGATTTCTCAAATAAATTGAATTGCTGGAACTCATTCCTCTTCCAAAAATATCTTTATATTAATACGTGAAGCAAAAACTTTGTATCCTTTTTACCAAAATTGCGGGGACGGAGGAGTATGAAATTTTCCACACTTATAGAGAATATAGAGAAGAAGTGTACAATGCTAATTTTTTTTTTAAATAATGCATAAAAGATACATTAAATCAATAAAGAAAACATTACACACACTACATACCATGTATTTGACGCACACACGCATGCATACTACTTATTGTCAAACTTTTGTTCTTGACGTCTGTGCTCAAATTGAGAATAGATTAAATATTGTTTGTATTGGCGAAATTGTGATTATAGAAGTATAAAATACAATCATATTATAATAGTGTACAAACTTACAATTCCAATTAATTATAGTCGAATTTCGACTACTGCGGGACCTCTAGTATTAGTAATTTCTTAAGAATATTAGTTTACATTACAGGCCGTAAATAAAGACGATTTCATTCAACAGCTATACTGAGACTTTCGAACTTATATCTCAAGGTGGGTGGCGCATTTACATTGTAGATGTCTATGGGCTCCAGTAACAACTTAACACCAGGTAGGCTGTGTGCTACCTGGTGTTAAGTGATATAAGTTCTAAGGCCTTAGTAAAGTTACAAAGGCTGCCCCACCCTTCAAACCGAAACGCATTGCTGCTTCACGGCAGAAATAGGCGGGGCGGTGGTACCTACCCGTGCTGACTCACAAGAGGTCCTACCACCAGTAACCACAAGAGGTCCTACCACCAGTAAATAGAAACACATACGAGATAATAACGAGTACATTCCGAATACCAAATATCTTTCACAAACCCCCATCCGAATGGGGTACGAATCGTAATACAAATTTGGCCCAAAACTAAAATTCTCTGTACTGAGAACCAAAGACTTAATATACCAATAATAATTAATCAATAGACTTAAATCTAAGCTAGATTGAGAAAATGTATTTTAAGACAATATAATATTTAACTACTTGCAAAAGGAAAAAAATTTAGATCAAAGACAATTAAATCTAGCAATGAACCTAAAACTAAAAAACAAATAGAATAACTAAAATATATTATTAAAAGGAGTCCCTTTAGGCAAGGTTCCGAAGATACTGGCAGTGTTGCCCCCTTGATCAGCTAGACTAATTCGTTGGTGGTGGTGGAGGTGGTGGTGATGATGGTGATGATAATAATGATGATGTCCCATGTCTATATTTGCATGTTTATTTTAAATCCCTATGCAGGTTGATAAGAGCACATGCCCACATAAGAAGGGACGAGGGCAAGAAGACTTCAAACAATGCTTGAAGTTCCAAAAGTGCTCTCCATAGAAGGACTTCAATGACAAGAAATAAATTTAAAATATATATTTAATTAAAAACCCAACATTACCACATTTCATCAAACCGAACAGATTTCGAAGTAACGTAGCTGATTTGTTCGTCGCCAATATCTTTGCCGCTGCCTGTCTCAATTAGTTCAGCGTCACCACCATATTTGATGACTTTGGAATTAGCAAACACGGTTTCTATATTCTCTTTCTTATTCGACGGGACGAGTACCCTTCTTATTTCTGTTACAGGCTTCACTCTGACGTTGCTATGTTTAGAATATGCTGACTTATCATCTTCCATCAAATCTAAGCTCTCCGTTTGGGTTAGAATATTTTTATCGATTTTCTTTGTAACAAAATCGGGAAACTCAAGTATTGTTGGAGTTTTAAACTCTTCTATCTTTACTTTTGGATTTGCATCTACATTAGATATAATTCGCTGCGGAAATGACGGCTCTGCGTGTTTATATACTTCTAGAAGATTTATAATATTTCTAGATTCGATGTCTTTATAAATTTTGCTATCTTTCAGATGCTGTCTCAATAATATTGCATCTGCTAGCAAATGCTGCAGTAATTTTCTTTCATTATTTCTATCCGATCCCTTATTTCTATCCGTTGTATAGTAATGCCTATCATTAAATTTCTTAATGATGTATTCCTTTTCAAGATTAGATATAGTATCTTCTGGGTAAGCAGGATGATAATCGTCTATTAGCATATTGTCGTACATAATTGGGACCATATATTCTTGTTCTAAATCCAAGAACTCCTTCTCTCCACTACCTAAAAGATCTTTTACTTCAGAATACCCTAGTACATCTATATTCGTTTCAATTCTTTTTGATGCAGGAAGTTGTGCTGATTTGTCCTTTTTGAATTCAGTAACAGGTTTTTCTTTGAATACTTCGAACTCTTGAGTCTGATTTATTTGAGACTGGAGCTTTTCTGATGGTAGTTCATCTTTAATGTTTATTGATGTAGTATTAGATGTTTCCGAAGCCTTTTGAACCACTGATTCGGCGGGTAAATTAGGTGAACTAGTAACATCTTTTGGTGCTACAGAGCAAGCGCTCGAAGCTTTCTGATTGATTTGATCAACTTCTTCATCAATTTCTTTACCTCGTCTGTAGCTTTCTTTCATTTTAACATCGTGTAAATCAGAATTCACGTTATCGTTGCTCTGAAATTGCCACTTATGTTTATGTCGGTGTCTTCTTTTAGACTTTTTTCTTCTTTTGTGTTTTCTTCTTTTCTTTCTAACGTTAAATCCAAATTTTGGAGCGTAACTCATATGTGGTATTTGATATAATCCGTAAGGAAAGTTTGTGGGTGCTTTGAAGGTATTTTGCAGGTTAGATTTGACGTATTTCAATATAGAGTATGCTATATCTTCAGACACTTCGGGGAATTTCTTGCGAAAATCTTTAACTATTTCGTCGTCTTTAGAATTTCTTGTCACTCGATTCTCGAGATCTATGTCAGGCATTTGCAAATGATTAAATATATCTTCGAAGTAATTGGAATTGAGCTCTGTATTTTCGAGCTGTGTGCGTTTGTTATTTATCTTCTTTACTTCTTCATTTTGATTTGTACCGTGTGTCAAACTGTCTGTTGATACTATGTTGGTGCTTTTAGTCTGGCAATCCTTTTTAGTAGTTTTACAATTTTGGTCGACATCTGGTGTCCTCGGTTGTGTTTTTGCGTCTACTTTACAGGATTCTTTATTATCTTTCTTATTTCTTTTTGTAATATCTGTTTTTTTGCTCTTATCTCTTTTAGTATCTTGACTATTCAACAGGTTATCATTTTTTACTTCTTTGTCTTTATTTGAGTTACTTTTCTTATTGTTATTCGTCTTTTTACTTTTTTTTCTTATTACTGGTTCAGTAGCCTGCTCTTTCTTATCTTTGTTTTCGTCGCTATTAACTACCGCTTCCGTCTTGGTTTCCGGCTTTTTATCTTTTTCTTTCTTAAAAACTGTTTCGTTAAGCTTCAAGTATTCCGGTGATACAATAAAATAATTGTTGACAACGTGTGGCACATTAGTGTTTATTGGTTCCTTTGCGTCAGGATTGTGCTGAGGCTTTACTTCTGGAACTTCAACTCTGTGGACATGAGGACTTGCCAAGACTCTGCTCAATATGACCTTGACGATTTCGTTTGGATTTATACTAGATATCAGCGGTTGATATTGATTATTGCTCGCTACATAATTTTGAGCTGTAGCTAGTTGGTTACAAGGGCTGTTTTTGGATGGCGTGTAAGTGTTAGACAGCTGAGTATATCCATTGGTTTGATACAAAGGTTGGATCTGAACTGGTACAGTGACTTGCGGGGTTGCGGTCACCTGAAATGAAAATTACATAATAAAATTAATATTTTTTATTTCGATTATTATTTTTTACATAATGAGCGTATCCATATTTCAATATATGTACACATTAATATTGCTGTAGATTGAGATACAAAGTTATGGTCCACTGAAATTTGTTTAATAGCTTTTTTATACAAATGACCATACTGCTGACCTAAGTTTAGATTTTCTCCACTCATAGACATCAACAATCCCGGGGAATTATCCCGGACTCCCTACAGATCACAAAGAAGATATGGACCCTCCGTGGACTAATAATAATAATAATAAATATTTACTAACAATCACGCCACGTTAACTGGTCCCGTGGTAAGTTCGTAAAGAACTTGTGTTACAGGTACCAGATAACGGAAATAAATGTAAGATTTTTATTATACACATACATATATTTAAGATACATCCATAACCCTGGAAAAGACATTTATAGTTATCATACAAATATCCTCCCTTGGCGGGATTCGAACCCGCGACCCCCTTGTGTAGTGACCATGTCACTTACCACTACACCAGACGGCCGTTTACACTAATACACTAAGTGTGAGGAATCACCAGTAACCTTTTTAACTTTGGCTCAACAAATAAACGAATTTATAGTTATTCAATATTTTCTCTCGTGCTATTAAAGACAAAAACACGTCGCGTCTAGTGTATAAATCGATAGTTGCCCATAAGAACTTTTGGGTGCTTTTAGGTACCTCAAGCACCGGTTACCGTCCTCGCCGAACCCGTCGCTTGCGACGAAGGGCTCGACGAATAAATTAACCCATAGACACAGCCCAATGAGTTTCTCGCCGGATCTCCTCAGTTGGTCGCGTTTCCGATCCGTAGATTCTGCGAAGCACTGCTCTAGCTAGGGCCCGATTTGAGCCCCGAGAGCTCACCTGCACGCTAGGATGAAGCTGAAATAGCCTCACAAGGCTATCAGGGTAGGGGGGAGAGAACTTACGTCCGTCGCTAGCAAAGCATCAAAATCCTTCACTAGTGGTAGGACCTCTTGGGAGTCCGCACGGGTAGGTACCACCACCCCGCCTATTTCCGCCGTGAAGCAGTAATGCGTTTCGGTTCGAAGGGTGGGGGTAGCCGTTGTAACTATACTGAGACCTTAGAACTTATATCTCGAGGTGGGTGGCGCATTTACGTTGTAGATATCTATGGGCTCCAGTAACCACTTAACACCAGGTGGGCTGTGAGCTCGTCCATCCATCTAAGCAATATTAAAAAAAAAACTCGCTCAATCTATAGCAGATTCACGTGATAACAAAAACGAACTCACCAAAAAATTCAAGGAGCAACAGATTATTTCGATAAATTTCATCTTTCGCTAACATTATTGTGTTTATCGTTAAAAATTCAAAACGATCGATCGATTATACCATCGCTGTCAAAACAGAATTAAGAAATACGTGATAGTTTTATCAATTTCATTTTATATATATACATTTTAAATTGATTTATCGATTGAGATTGATTGAGAGTTTTAATCGGAGTCGATGATTGAGCACGATTTTGTATGTACGATATCGTAATATATTGCCACATTTCTTGATGGTGGGCTTTGTTTGTGATGCTCCCAGTTTTCAAATCTATACTTAATATATAAATCTACAGTGGTTTTTACGGATGTTCCGCTATAACTACTGAATCATGCATCCGATTGACTTGAAACTTGGTATCTATGTAGAAAATACATGTACTTAATGGATAGGATAATATTTATATGAGTGTTGGACTCTCTAATAATAATGACAATATATAATAATGTTAATTTTAAATGCCCAGCGAAGCGGGTGAGTATGGCTAGTCTAATTGTAAAGTCTTCATGTCCAAAGTCCGAAGAACGATTATGGAGTTGGATGGGTCATGTAAGGACTCGATTGGAACAAGGACTCTAAATATTAAATGTTTTAAGTTTTGACCGCCAGTGCCTTAGACAGCGCACTGAAGGAATTATGTCGATTTTTGTTACTAAGGCTCCTGAGTTACCTAACAATTATTGCTTTTGTTTGTTAATGTATGTTGTAGTCTTTTCAATTTTTCTAATGAAATACGTACTCAACAATTGTTCACGATTGACTTCCACGGTGAAGGAATAACATCGTGTAATAAAAATCAAACCCGCAAAATTATATATTGCGTAATTACTGGTGGTAGGACCTTTTGTGAGTCCGCACGGGTAGGTGGTACCACTACCCTGCTTATTTCTGCCGTGAAGCAGTAATGCGTTTCGGTTTGAAGGGTGGAGCAGCCGTTGTAACTATACTGAGACCTTAGAACTTATATCTCAAGGTGTGTGGCGCATTTACGTTGTAGATGTCTATGGGTTCCAGTAACCGCTTAACACCATGTGGGCTCGTCCACACATCTAGGCAATAAAAAAAAGTCTTATAGGTATCTTACAAATAGATTAATTTTTAGTATCTTCGAACTTCTCTTTCCCAGAGTCAACTAGATATTCCTGCGTCTTATTAAGAAGATCGAAGAAATAAATCGAGTAAATATTTATTTTATTTTATTAAAAATATAGTACCGTCCAGTTCGCTTATTCCTCTCCCTGCAAGGTTGCCTGGAAGAGATCACTTTCAGAGATAAGGCCGCCAATTTATGTCACCGACTATTATTTGTTTTATATGCTTACTCTGTACATCTTAACTAACATTATGGTTTTTACGATTTTTTTTTGCTTAGATGGGTGGACGAACTCACAGCCCACCTGGTGTTAAGTGGTTACTGGACCCCATAGACACTTACAACGTAAATGCGCCACCCACCTTGAGATATAAGTTCTAAGGTCTCTCAGTATAGTTACAACGGCTGCCCCACCCTTCAAGCCGAAACGCATTACTGCTTCACGGCAGAAATAGGCAGGGTGGTGGTACCTACCTACCCGCGCGGTTTCACAAGATGTCCTAACCACAATTCAAAATTATAGTAAATTAAATATAAGGTATATTTTATACCATTAAACAAAGAAGAAGGGTGCCTAATAATTGGTGTTCTGATCAACAATTCTGACCATTTCTGTCGCCAATCAATCATAGACCTCCAATGCAACAGCTCGATTCGTTATTACATCTTAAGGCGGCGTTCACGCTGTGTCTATACGGATTCCCATCCGGATGTAACTGGAATAGCCCCTCAGACTACTGAATAGGTGGGGAACAAAAAACAGACCACGGTATCTTAACTCCTTCCTCGTCGTGCACTCTTGACAAAGTGGTTGCGGTCATACATCAGTCGAATCCTGTGACACCGATGCTCTTGCGATGCAACGCCATATGGCATGACGTCTCGCTTTTTTTTCCCTACCTAAGCTGATAGCCTTGAGAGGCTATTTCAGCGTAACCTTAGCTAATAGGTGAGCTCACGGGGCTCAAGCCGGAGTGATGCTAACACTAACCCTAGCAAGAGCAGTGCTTCGCAGAATCTATCATCTGATCGGAAACGTGACCCACTGAGAAGATCCGACGAGAAACTTTCTAGAAGACTTTCTTCGAGAAGCTTTCACTCTATGTCTCGTAGAGTGAAACCAATCATTTATATTGGAGTTTGTAATAGATTTTATGAGGTCGGTCCATCGTGTTGGAGATCGTCCGCGAGATCTTTTGCCCTCGACTTTCTCTTGCACCACCAACCGCTCAATGGGGTTCTCAGATGAATGGTGATGATGGATGATGGTATCTTAACACCGGATGTGAAACAAAATAAAATACGAATCACTTTATAAGCTAACTAAGGGCCCGGCTCCGCTCGGGTCTTTAACAAAAATTTCAACGATATTTGACGTTGTTTTATTTTTTTAAATAAAAGAACGCTTATTGTGGCATAACTATAATAGTTAGACGTATGCTGTCGCGGCACTTTTTGTAAATAATAATGTGTTCTACAAAGTCGTGGTACATTATTTTATTCTATCATCAATAGTTTTCGCAGGGCACGCGATATAAAGAATATTTTAGGTAATTTTTTTACACCTTGGGTTTTAGTAAGGATCCCTAATTTTTTCAAAAAAAGATTTTAGCCTATGTCACTCGGGAATAGTGTAGCTTCCAAACAGCGAAAGAATTTTTCGAATCGGTTCCGTAGTTTCGGAGCCTATTCAAGACAAACAAACAAACAAATCTTTCCTCTTTATAATATTAGTATAGATATATTAATAACGCATTACAATCTATGGTCCTTTGAAATCACAATAACAGCTTCTCCAATTCAACGACGACACACGTTATTAGCTTTATCAGGCCACTGAGCAAGCCGCTTCCGTCTGTCAGCCCGCTTAAGAGGGTCAGCACCAGGTTTAACACCTGCACCACTAGCCCCAACAGCAGACCCGGAGCCGCGAGGACGTTGGAACGAAACAGCGAAATCAACACGCTGATGTACAGGAAGAGGACGCTCGCCAGATCCGTCAGTGTAGCGTAAAGCAGCGGCAGAGTGCAACCAAAATACGGCAGTATCGCCGGCGTCAGATTCTGCACTATATTCGAGAGGTTGTTCAGGTTGTTGATCAAGTTGATGAGGAACGGTATCAGGAGGCAGGCGAGCTGGTTCGCGACTGGTAAAACCGTCGCGATCTCGTCGAATGCGAGACGCAACGCTGACACGGAGTAGGCCGGTATCATCGCGTCAGCTCGTTCGACCTGTCAGAGAAAGAGAGAAGTTTTATTTGTTTGCCCTTTGATTTCGCGCTGTTTCTTGCTACAATGAAATGGCATAACTAAAAGTTCATTTACATACGTGAGTTTTTAAGCTATTGCGTAGCTTTTATCGCGGGCTTTTAAGCGCGGCGACCGAATCAAGAAATTCCGTAACGAAAATAAAACCTAACACCCCTCACTCCGCCTACCATGTAGCTCGCGTTCAACACATTCACACGTTGCGCTTGTGTCGTGCTTGTGAATAAGCGCGCGGCGTGATGTCGCATTGCATGCGCATCATGAAAAGTCTGCCCATCTCTCTCTCACGCGGTCTAGCTTATGATTTTGAAGGACAGTTAATGTTTTGCTATTGTTAATGTTTATAAGTATAGCGTGGTCTTATTTTAATTATTGTTTTAATATTAAATTATTATTGTCTAATTATAATTGCATAAGTTGATAAAATATGCTATGCAATAGCTGTACCGCGGCAGTCCCTGAGTGCCACACGTGCTTTTTTAAATTGTAATTTTTATTTCCGACTTTTTGAACACTGTACAGTTTACGTTATTCGTCGATATTAGAATATTTTCAAGACTACTGTCAATTTTCTTTATTAAAACAAATTTATTCTAAAATTCATAATCGGTTGAAGAGTATAATTGTTTATCTGTTGTTAAGTGGTAACAGAAGTCCAGAGGAATCGCCACTTAATTGCGACCGCTCATATTGAGACATAAGATTTAATTGTTAGTCCCAATTGAGCAAGGCCTGACGCATCCTTCAAACCAAAACCCATTACTGTTTCCGTTCAATGCAATTCATTCAAATATCAAGGCAACCATTGAATCCCATTGATAGACAAAAATGCACATTATGCATCCAACAATGATCCTTCTGTTGAAATCTAAACACATTACTGCTTCTCAGTACATTACGGGTCAGGAAGTGATCGTAATTTTACTCCATCGGTGTGAAAGTTTGAGAATTGAGAGAGGACGCGTGTTTTTGCTATTAAAACAATCGATGAGGTTCTCCTCTTGACATTTCCTATTGTAGACTCATCTCAATGTCGAATTCGAGATTGGATTCTCACTCAAAAAAATCATGGCGATTTCAATTAGAAAGCCACTAGTTTGCTTAATTAAGCACAAGCTTGATATTTAAGCTAATACGGGGAACTGCAAAGTGAATCAGGGACAGTCGGACGAGAAAACAACCCGTAATCTTCGAACCCAAGCGCCACCTAATAATATCTAATAATATTTTTTTATTGCTTAGATGTGTGGACGAACTCACAGCCCACCTGGTGTTAAGTGGTTACTGGAGCCCATAGACATCTACAACGTAAATGCGCCACACACCTTGAGATATAGTTCTAAGGTCTCAGTATAGTCACAACGGCTGCCCCACCCTTCAAACCGAAACGCATTACTGCTTCAGGGCAGAAATAGGCAGGGTGGTGGTACCTACCCGTGCGGACTCACAAGAGGTCCTACCACCAGTAAAATGGACGTATTTATCGTGTCAACAATCCTACACAGATAGTGGGCTGTTTTTTTTATGACGCAAGCCGGTGGCGACTTAGGAAAGCTACTGGTAAAAGCCAAGGTATGCGGAAGAAGGTCCAGAGCCAGAACAACAATCTGCTGGTCGAACCAGATAGCTCTACGCCAGCGGTCGAGGAACCTGGGTAAATTACCCCAAATGGGGTAAAATGAAATTTTTGGAGGTAAAAATGAAACTTTTGTGAGTAAAAAGTATATATCGAAGTGAAACTTCTTTAGAACCGTTGCGATTTCAACTTCGATGAAACTAAATGAAAAGAAACTAAAAAATTATATATATTTTTCAAAATTATCATGGCGGCTGTAATATTTTATGAAAGATGTTAAAAAGAAGCGATTTCGTTATTTTTTAAGTTATACTTCTTTAGGCGCGTTATGAAAAATTGATGAGAGTGAAAGTTTACGATGCGCGCGCACCGTGACACAAAATTAACAGAATGAAGTTGCCCACTAAATCGCTCATTACAATACGACCGACGTAACTTGGCGAGTCTGAATATAGCCGCAGGTGAACTTTTGCGCATGTACACTCGTAAAAAAAAGTGTTATTAGCATTCATTTTTTAGTAATATAAATGACAAAATTATTATTTAATATAATTCATAATAATTAAATATTACTAAATTATTAACGTTTAATATTTATTATTAATTATTTAAGATTTAACAAAAAAAAAAGAAATAAATTNGTAACTTGGCGAGTCTGAATATAGCCGCAGGTGAACTTTTGCGCATGTACACTCGTAAAAAAAAGTGTTATTAGCATTCATTTTTTAGTAATATAAATGACAAAATTATTATTTAATATAATTCATAATAATTAAATATTACTAAATTATTAACGTTTAATATTTATTATTAATTATTTAAGATTTAACAAAAAAAAAAAGAAATAAATTTAACAAAAATAAAGTATAACTTCTTACGCGCGTACATAAGTACACGCACCCTTTTTTGTTCTTCGCCATGGGGTAATATCAGCTTACACAAAAATATTTTCGGGTAATAGTTAAAAAAGTTCCCCGACCGCTGCTCTACGCTGTAGGCTAGCCGCGCGGTCGAGGATAGGCAAGGCTGGCGCAGGATAATCCAGGACCAAGTTATTAAACGAGGCCACAACCCTCAACATTGAAGTTTATAATATCTTATTTTTATTGCTTAGGCGGACGAGCTCACGTCTACAACGTTAATGGGCCACCCACCTTGAGATATGAGTTCTAAAGTCTCCGTTTTAACAGTACAACGCCTGCCCCACCCTTCAAACCGAAACGCATTACTGCTTCACGGCAGAAACGGGCAGGGTGGTGGTAGAATGAATTGAAGCTAATGACCGATCTAACCACGAGACACCAGACCGAAGTCTCCTTTGTGTTGTATGATGGGATGGCTTCGCGTCAAAAATAGGCAGGACGTTGACGTTTTGCCGGCTTAAAATACGATCTACGGATCACCGATTTATTCCTTAGTCGTTACGACACCCACAGACAGACAATATGGCTATATACAGCTAAAGTTTTTTTTTATTGCTTAGAGGTCCGGACGAGCTCACAGCCCACCTGATGTTAAGCGGTTACTGGAGCCCATAGATATCTACAACGTAAATGCGCCACCCACCTTGAGATATAAGTTCTAAGGTCTCAGTATAGTTACAACGGCTGCCTCACCTTTCAAACCGAAACGCACTACTGCTACACGGCAGAAATAGGCAGGGTTGTGGTACCTACCCGTGGGGACTCACAAGAGTTCCTACCATTAGTAAAAAGTAGAAATATACAAACCAATAATACAGCGAAACACAATAAAATCGATCGAATCATGATTTAAAAAAAACTAGCGCACTATAAGACTAATATATAAATAATAAATAAATTTATTAATTTATAATCATATAAATATGCGACATTATCTGATTGCGGTAATGACGTAACAAGGCAAAATAGTATTAGTAACGTTTGCGTAAAGATAAAATTTGCGTAATATCTGTTATCGATTTTTTTTTCTTTCATCTGTGAATTATATCTATGCATAGATAGATAGAACTGATAGAGAACCCATAGGGGTTGATGTAATTTTTTTTTGTTTTTTTTTGTTTTTATTTAATAATTGTTTCTTTTTTCATTTTTATTGAAAATTTCCATGAATCGTACAGATAATTGACGTTGTTATTATGTTGTGTATAAATGTGTATGTAATTATTTAAGTATGAGAATTTTTTTCATGATATATGTGTCAATTTTATATTACCGTTATGATATCTATATATTAATACGTGAAGCAAAAACTTTGTATCCCTTTTTACGAAAATTGCGCAGACGGAGGAGTACGAAATTTTCCACGCTTATAGAGAATATATGTAGAGAAGAAGTGCATAAAGATAATATTTTTTTAAATAATGCTTATAAGATACATTAAATCAATAAAGGAAACATTACACACACTACATACCATTTGACGCACACACGCATGCATACTATTTATTGTCAAACTTTTGTTCTTGACGTCTGTTGTCAAATTGAGAATAGATTAAATATTGTTTGTCTTTATTAATATTTTTTTATAGTGTAGTCTTGGCGAAATTTGTGATTATAGAAATATAAAATAGAATCATAATAGTGTACAAACTTACAATACCAATTAATTATAGTCGAATTTCGACTACTGCGGGACCTCTAGTTATTATAAATTTCTTATTACTCAAAAAAGAATACACCTACCTACCACAGAACTCTCAACATCACCTTACGTTGACTAGTAGAGAATGCCTCAGACATTAAATCCGCCACTGTATTATTGTGCATAAAGCTAAATAAATAAATAATTAAAATCATTTTTACGGATTAATCAAAATAGTAAAATATCAATAATAAAACCCAATATTAATCCGTAAAAATAGTTTTAATCGAGTCCTTTAATTCACAATCAATGAAGCACAATTTTAACTATTATTCGTAATAATAATTTTTATTGCTTAGATTAGGAAACAAGTTCACAACTTAATTGGTATCAAGCGGTCACTGGAGTCTTGAGAGTTGAGGTCTACGACTCAATCGCTTAGTCATTACGCATAGTAAAAAAATATTATAAAAGATTTGATTCTTATCACACGATGTTATTACTTCATCGTGGAAAGTGATTCGTGAGCATATGTTAAGTACATGTTTCATTAGATTAATTGGTAGGAACCAGTCTGGTTTTTTTTTCCTGCCTATGCTGATAGCCTTGGGAGGCTATTTCAGCTTCTCTTTGACGTGTTGGTGAGCTCACGGGGCTCAAACCGGAGGCGTTGCTAACACTGGCCCTAGCAAGAGCAGTGCTTCGCTGAATCTACCACCGGATCGGAAACGCGACCCACTGAGAAGATCCGGCGAGAAACTCAGTGGGCTGTGTCTGTGGGTTAATTTACTCGTCGAGCCCTTCGTCGTAAGCGACGGGTTTGACGAGAACAGTGGTCGGTGCTTAAGGTATCTAAAAGCACCAATAGTGGATTGGGAGGATCTGAAATTTCGTGGTGATGTATGAGCTTACTGCAATCCACCTACTGCAATTAACAAAAGTACTAAAGATCGTATTTCATACTTAGCTGATTTCAAATGCTATATAAACTTCCATTTGAACAAACTAAGACAAACATGGACTGCTTTGTTTTCTATCTCCAAATCTCTCATAAATATTATATCCGTCAGAATAAATTCTAGGACATATCTAGTATTCCTTTTGCGTTGCAAACAATAAAAACGAATGTCCATTTACATGAAACGATTAATCGGATCGTGACGTCGTTACGTCGTTGAGCATGTCATTATCGTGATTTATATGTCATAAGTTAAAAAATATCCATTGTCAATGTCAACGTCCAATATCATTCTCCTCTTCTTCCTCAGTCGCACTCCTCATGTCTTAGGGTCGTGATCACCTCGATCCATGACTTTCATTCTCAATCAACTCCTACTGCAGCTTTAAAGAATTTCATCTTTCATCTACATATATAAAAATGAATTGCTGTTCGTTAGTCTCGCTAAAACTCGAGAACGGCTGGACCGATTTGACTAATTTGGGTCTTGAAATATTTGTGGAAGTCCAGAGAAGGTTTAAAAGGAAGATGAATATGAAAATGCTCGGAATTAAATAAAAATAACAATTTTGTTTTTCCTTTGTAGTGTCCCCCGTCGGACGGATTCCTTTTGTTTGTTTTAAGTTTATTTTATACAAAAGTTTAGGTCTTTTATTTATAGATTGAGGCACTACGAAGTCTGCCGGGTCAGCTATTTGAAACAAATATATATATGGTTTAAAAACTGAAAAAAGCTGCCTTAAATAAATAATAATCTTTTTTAGACCCAGTGATTTGGGCCAGGATACTACTTCTTCTTCTCAATCGTTTCACTCTTGACAGATAGCGTTGTAGACCTAACACGTTTCACGATATCCCTTTAATTTGGCTTTAATTTAGTCGGTTCACATTGGACAAGGATTCTAAGTCAAAGTAATAAAAAAAATTATTTGTCGCCAGTTCTGTGTGCAAATTTCCAATGCGTTTCGGTTTGAAGGCTGGGGCAGCCGTTGTAGCTATACCTGAGACTTTAGAACTTATATCTCAAGATGTGTGGCGCATTTACGTTGTAGATGTCTATGGGTTCCAGTAACCACTTAACACCAGGTGGGCTGTGAGCTCGTCCACACATCTAAGCAATAAAAAAAGGTACGAATGCTTTTTGACTAAATCAGACAAGGCTTCAATTGGCACGGCTCAGCTGAAGCGAACATCGATTATGTCAACTAGAAACATTATCGCTTCGAGAAATCGATTAGTAAACAGGAAAAAAATATCGATAAAACATTCGAATGTGTAACGCAACGCGAATATTTACATAATTCGTATTCGTAACGAAATCGATTCTCAAGATTATAAAAACTTTATCAGCTATTGTAAAATAAATATGGCGCGTTTGCGTAATTTTTACAATTCACTCTTTAAATAGATGTAATTGTAAATGTCGGATACATTATTTATGTATTAATCAATCAACGTATAAAGATTTTTTTTCGTTTGTCAAAATATCGATACGCTTAGTTATTATTTATTTATAGAGATGTCGAAACCATCCCTTGCATTGGTTTGTATTGGCACGATTTTTCTTTTGACGGTAAGTTCTAGAAAATATGACGGCTAATTTAAATTTCATAAAAGCGTAAAGGCTTAGCTCAGGTGCATACAATAATAGTCTTTCTGATTGTGACGTTAAAGATACATCGAACGGTCTGTAGCCTTCTACTCCTTGCATCGTGTTTCTCAATGGTCGTGAACTTTACGGAGCATTTTTATTCGGACCATGTTCCTTTTTTTGCTCAGATAGGTGGACGACCTCACTACCTACCCGGTGTTGAGTGGTTAGCGGAGCCCATAGACATTGACAACGTAAATGCCGCCACCCGCTTTGAGATAACAGTTCTAAGGTCTCATTTGTAACAGTAGGATGGTTGCCCCACCCTTCAAACGGAAACGCATTACTGTTTCACGGCAGAAATAGGCAGGGTGGTGGTACGTACCCATGCGGACTCTCAGCAGTTCCTGCCATCAATAGACCTCCATTCTTTCCTGTCCTCCTCGCAGTGGATAAAGACATTGATGCCAGACAGGTGTTCCGAACCCATATTCATCATAAATCTATTTCTTTGAGACATAACTTTATAGATAACCGCGTATTCTAAGTCCGCACGCGTAGGTACCAATCTCCGCCCTGTTTCTATTGCAAAATACCGTTCTTTCTAGCCCAAAATCTCCAGTCAAACACGATTTTTAATTCAATATTAACAGTTAATTTCTTTCAGACACCAGTCTACGCGACAGGAGTCCAGCTACCTGCCGTCTATCCACTAGTCAACATCTTGCTGCCTCTCCTCAACAACGTCTACAACCTCCTGCTTTCACTGCTCTCGATCTTCGACACCTTACCCCCTAGCATTAGCTGCATTATCCCGGTCGACTTGGGAGCTTTAGAGACATCGTTACTCAAACTTTACTCCCAAGCTTTGGCCATCGTGAACTTCTTACGCTCCTTACCCGAATATGCGATCGGCGCCAATCCTAACACACCGCCGGCGAATGTGCTTAATTTGCAAGGCTTGCTGAGTACGTTAGTGAAAACAATAACGGAATTGGCTGAAGATCTCCTCATCGGAATCGGTGGAGGGCTTTTACCTGGACTGCTTCAACTGGTTGTGTTATTAGTTGAAGCTTTATTGAGCTTATTGATTTAAGCATTGTCGATCGACACGAAACGCCCCAAGAGTCGAAGCGCTCTGCAGTCGTCAGCCCAGCACCCAAAATCGAAAATTGCGAAGCGTTATCTTTTAAATAAAGGTTTTTTGTTTCATGTTTCATTTTTGATTGGTTACTCTTGTTTGTTCTTCCTTATTTCGCGGCAACGGAGACAACATATTCTGTTAATCATTTGAAAGGTCGTATATAGAATATATAAGGACAATAAAGTCGCGAGATTAAACCGTAAAAGTTTAATTATGTCTGAGATCGAAAACCAAAGAATATACAAATATAGACGTGAAACAAATCTGTTCGTCGCCCAGATGTTTGCCATTCCGTCTCTATTTACGGCCAAGCCAGTGACACGACATAATTGAAATTTCGACCTCACGTCTCTAGGCTGAAGGTGATCATCATGATAATATTGTTACGTGCTGGGGTTCAGGATAAATAAAAATTCTACCGCAGTACAAATTATAACTGTATTAACACATAGAACACTTACAGAACACTTTAAAATTCGTAATTCACTTCTTCCGCTTCGCTTCAGGTGATCCTTTCGCTGTGTCGCTTCGAGTAGATCCGATTACTAACTGCTTCCGTGTCATCCCTGCAACGCTTTAACAGTCGATACGACATCCCTAGAATTATCTAGAACATACCTGACAAGTGGAGTATTTTCGATATGCGTGTAACAATAGATGGTGTTGTATGTCTCGAGCGTTTTCGATTTTACTACTTCTTTTGATATTCGTTTCTGCTATTCGACAATAGATGGCGCTGCTCTTACCGGCATAACGATATCTATGAGCACGGCCACACCTGATAACGTCTGTCCCATCCTTCATACAGAAATGCATGATAGCTCGGCATCAGCAGAGTAGCAAGCTGATAGTCGCCCGTGCGTGCTCAATATTAGAGTAAGTATCAAGGGGGTTAAGTAGGGGACAGATCATTTTTTTGTAATCATATCATATCAGACATCGCCAATGTCATTAGGTAGTCTTTGAGAACAGTATCTTATTCAACTTCTCTTGACCAGTCATCGCCAGGGTGCTGATGCTTGATGATCATTTCTCTAATCATCGCTAGTGCGACTTGTTGTCTCATCCAAGACTGATAACGCTAACCGCAGACCTCTACAGCTGTATATTAACTACCGGACGAACTCAGGATCCTAAATTAGTAGATAAAAAAAAAATTCCGTCATTCTCTAGGGCGTCTTTAAGAAAACTGTATATATATACATGTCTAAGGACTGGTAAATCGGTGTGACGTGTAAACCCCCTCCAAGATTCTAAGGATGAGTTTATAGTGAGCGATAAATGTTAAGATGTCTTACTTCGGACATTTCCTCCAGTTTTAATTGAGAAAAAATTCTGGGAGCATCGAGCGACAGCAGGGTTCTGTGTGCTGTGAAGCAGTAATGCGTTTCGGTTTGAAAGATCGGGCAGCCGTTATGCTGTTAAAACTGAGGCCTTAGAACTCATATCTCAAGGTAGGTAGCGGCATTTACGTTGTAGATGTATAAAGGCTCCGATAACCACTTAAAACCGGGTACACCATGAGCTCGTCCACCCATTTAAGCAATAAAAAAATAGTTCTTTATTAATCATCATTCTCCTGCCCTTCTCCTAGTCACTTGGGGTCGGCGCAACATGTTTTCTCCTCCCATACTCTTCTATCATATACCATTTCTTCGCTCACTCCCCTCTTACCCATATCGTCTTTCACGCAATCCATGAATTTCTTCTTAGGTCTACCTCTTCCTCTATAGCCTTCCGCATTCATAGTTAACACTCTCCTACCAACCTCGTTTTGGGTTCAATATTTCTTGAATCCAAATATTAACCGAAATATTTCTTGTGCTGGGTTTAACATAAAATACCTCCTTGATGCGACATTAAATCGTGAATTAAAAAGAAATGGAGCCTATTGACGTCACAACGTGAAGGCCACGACCCACCTTGAGACATGAGGTCCAAGTCTCAATAGCATTGTACAACGTTTCACTCATCCGAACCGGAACCAATGACGGAAACATGCAAGAAGATGCAAGAAGGTGGTTGACAGTGGTTTACTGGTGGTAGGACCTCTTATGAGCCCACGCGGGTATGTACCACCACCCTGCCTATTTCTGCCGTGAAGCAGTAATGCGTTTCGGTTTGAAGGGTAGGGCAGCCGCTGTAACTATACTTAAGACCTTAGAACTTATATCTCAAGATGGGTGGCGCATTTACGTTGTATATGTCTATGGGCTCCAGTAACCACTAACACCAGGTGGGCTGTGAGCTCGTCCACCGGTCTAAGCAATAAAAAAAAGAAATCGCTGAACATGCCCGATCACACAAATCAAATTCTCCACCGTCGTAACAAAATGATTCGGACGTAAAATTTCCGTATGACGTCAGAAGCATTTTGAACACACCCCTAGAATTTCCATTCATGCGCAATGAAGTACCCCTGTACTGGTCTATACGGATCGAACCTCTAGTCGGGGCCAGAAGACGGCAGAGCAAAGATGTCTCAGTGAGTACCGAACATTAGAATCATTAAAGACACACACCAATCTATACTTAACTAGAGGTCCCGCAGTAGTCGAAATTCGACTATAATTAATTGAAATTGTAAGTTTGTACACTATTATGATTGTATTTTCAACGCCAAGACATCACTATAGAAAAATATTAATAAAGACAAACAATATTTAATCTATTCTCAATTTGATCACAGACGTCAAGAACAAAAGTTTGACAATAAATAAATAGTATGCATTCGTGTGTGTGTCAAATACGTGGTAGTGTGTGTAATGTTTTCTTTATTGATTTAATATATCTTTTATGCATTATTTTAAAAAAATATTAGCATTGTGCACTTCTTCTCTATATTCTCTATAAGTGTGGGAAATTTCATACTCCTCTGTCCGCGCAATTTTCGTAAAAAGGGATACAAAGTTTTTGCTTCACGTATTAATATTACTATATAATATTATAAAGAGGAAAGATTTGTTTGTTTGTTTGTATTGAATAGGCTCCGAAACTACTGAACCGATTAGAAAAATTCTTTCACTGTTTGGAAGCTACACTATTTCCGAGTGACATAGGCTATAATCTTTTTTGAAAAAAATTTTGTGTCCTTACTAAAACTCCAATAATGTAACCCAAGGTGTAAAAAAATTACCTAAAATATTCTTTACATCGCGTGCCCCGCGAAAACTACTGATGATAGAATAAAATAATGTACTACGACTTTGTAGAACACATTAGTATTTACATAAAGTATCTGGACAATATATGTCTAACTATTATGGTTATGCCGCAATAAGTGTTCTTTTATTTAAAAAAATTAAACAACGTCAAATATCGTTGAAATTTTTGTTAAAGACCCGAGCGGAGCCGGAGCGGGCCGCTTGTCACTAATACAGTGAATTGTTCGGAAGTTACTTAATTACTCTTTTTGTATCTTTAACGTTTTATTTTATTTATTATTGCTTAGATGGGTGGACGAGCTCACAGCCCACCTGGTGTTAAGTGGTTACTGGAGCCCATAGACATCCACAACGTAAATGCACCACCCACCTTGAGATATAAGTTCTAAGGTCTCAGTATAGTTACAACGGCTACCCCACCCTTCGAACCGAAACGCATTACTGCTTCACGGCGGAAATAGGCGGAGTGGTGGTACCTACCCGCGCGGACTTACAAGAGGTCCTACCACCAGTGATTACGCAAATTATAATTTTGCGGGTTTGGTTTTTATTACACGATGTCATTCCTTCACCGTGGAAGTCAATCGTGAACATATGTTGAGTACGTATTTCATATTACGCTTTTAATACAGCTTACCGTAGAAGACATTGTGTGTATTTTAACGCGAATAGAAAGACTATTATTGGTATAATTCGAAATATTGATTTTGGGACGTATTCGCAAAACCATTTGGCCGATTTTGTTGCGTTTTTTTTTCTATTACGAAGCGTGGGACTGTTAGGATAAATTATAATCGTTTTATCAAGCTTTCGCTAGTGGTAGGGTGTGCTGTGAGGTGGCATGGGAAAGACTCGCAACTCTGCCTATTTCTGCCGGAAAGCTATCGAGCTTTCTGGTTTTAAAAGTGAAGAAAGCGTTTGTACAACGCGCTATCAAACTTTAGATTGAAATATCCATTTTTTTGGTACATAGGTTATCCTACTCTTCGAACCGGCATGCTTTGAGGCAGAAATAGGACAATCTATGTGATGGTTTTTGGCGTAAGATCACTAGAAATTTAAATTCAACCTAAGGTCAATGAAAATGCTAAAACTAAACCCGAATTCGGGATAAAGAAGAGATTTTTGAAAGAAAAAAAAACTCTTCAAATATTTTGCATCTATTATAACCCTATTATTTATTTTGTTAGTCCTTTTATTCGCGATTAGCTATAGGAGCTTATGATAAGAAGACTGTTACAAAGTGTTATTCATATACTGTTATTATTATCGACATATAAATCTCCACTAATTTGTATAAACAAGATGTCTGTCAGTCTCTGTGTCCATCAGGCAAAAACTATTCAACTAATTTTTAAGGCACTTAATTCTCAACCAAAAAAAAGTAAGTAGTTTAAAAATTAATTAATTTCCACAATTAATTTAATTTAATAACAGTTAGTTTAATTATTTTTGTTATTCTTTTAATACTAGTCAGGATATTAGAGGGAGTTTTTATTATTGTTATACATATTATACAATTATTGTATCGTCAATCAAGGTATCTTATAACCGAAAATTACATTCAAAGATTACCTTAAATACAAACAAAGGCACATACCAAGCTAATAAAAGCCTTTTAAAAAAATTAACGTAAGCATCTTTAACCACGCCATAGTTATGTTACACGGTTTTAATAAATATTATAAACTCATACGACCATAATTCGTAGTACATCATTACAAACCGCAATGGTTGCTAGGGTGACAATCCAATTTAAAAAAAACAATGGAAACATTATTCTCTTCTATTACCTAAAGTTATAAACATTTTTAGCTTCCGTACTATTTAAATGGGAGGGTCTATTTTAAGTTACGCGGTAAATATTACGGACATTAAGGACAGCATTATATATATTTATATTTATTGCTTAGATGGGTGGACGAGCTCACAGCTAACATAGTTGTTAAGTGGTTACTGGAGCCCATAGACATCTACAACGTAAATGCGCCACCCACAATGAGATATCAGTTCTAAGGTCTCAGTATAGTTACAACGGCTGCCCCAGCCTTCGAACCGAAACGCATTACTGCTTCACGGCAGAAATAGGCAGGGCGGTGGTACCTACCCGCGCGTACTCTCTAGAGGTCCTACCACCAGTAAAATCCAATTGACCAAAATTCGAAGTGCTTAAATACAAACCGCATTAAAAGCTCGGGTGGCAACTTGATTAAAAAAAAAACCTTGAGACATTATTGTTTTCCCATAACCAAAGTTTTATTAGCATTATTTATTAGCATTTAGCTTTTATGCTAATTTTTTTATTGTATTGCAGGCATACGAGATTATACTAAGATATATTGTTTTTATGACTTAATAATGCAAATTTAGCGGTAAGCAGCGGTTTGGCTCTGCCCCTGGCATTTCTGAAGACCATGGGCGACGGTAACCACTCCCCATCAGGTGGGCCATATGCTCGTCTGACTACAAGGGCAATAAAAAAAAAATTTTTTTTTGGTTGACCCTACAAAGACTAAATATATGAATATACTTGATTGCAATATCATCGCTTCTTGACAGGCGTGCATTTTTTTTTAGTCTAATCTAGACGGAGGACACGTCAAAGGGAAAACAAAATTGTTATTTTTATTTAAATCCGAGCATTTTCGTATTTATCTACCGTTTAAACCTTCTCTGGACTCCCACAAATAATTCAAGACCAAAGTTAGCCAAATCGGTGAAGCCTTCCTCGAGTTTTAGCGAGACTAACGAACAGCAATTCATTTTTATATTTATAGAAGATAGATATGGATGGACGAACCCACAGCCCACAGGTGTTAATTGGATACCGGAGCCCATAGACATCTACAACGTAAATGCCGCCATCCACCTTGAGACATGAGTTGTAAGGTCTCACTTTTCACAGTACAACAGCTGCCCTGTCCTTCAAACCGAAACGCATTACTGTTTCACGGCAGGAATAGGCAGGGTGGTGGTACCTACCCGTGCGGACTCACAAGACGCCCTAGCACCAGTAATTACGCGAATTATAATTTTGCGGGTTTGATTTTTGCTGCGGGTGTTGCATTACGAATGTCGTATTCTTTAATTGTATGTCAATAGTTTAAGTAAAGTAAAGTTGAATAAGGATTCACGAATATCTCCTACTTATAAACTTACATCAATATTTTTTTCGGACCAGTTTCGCCATGACTGCCACCGCGATCTTAGTGCTGGGCTGTCTCTCCGGCGCCCACGCCTGGGGTGGCCTCTTCAACCGTTTCAGCTCCGATATGCTGGCCAATCTTGGCTACGGAAGGTCCCCGTATCGCCACTACCCTTACGGGCAGGTAAGATTTTTGCCTAAGTTTTTCTTGTTGCATAGTGCCTCATACCATTTTTTTATTGCCGTTGTTGGCAGACGAGCATACCTGATAGTGAATGGTTACCGTCGCCCATGGACTTCAGCAATGCCAAGGGCAGAGCCAAACTGCTGCCTACCGTTAAATACTCTCCACAAGCCTCGTTTGAAGAGGGACATGTCATAGCACTCGGGAAACACCGCGGAGGGGAGCTCATTCTCAAGCCGGATGGCACGTGCCAAAAAAGATATCTGGAAACGCTCTTTATCTAGTGGTTACGTATGTGACGTCACCTTGAAATTGAAACCTCAATTATTTTTGGACCAGACAACAAATAAAATCGAAGCCTCTACGAGCTTATAGATACCCTACAAACCACCAATTGCCCAAATTATCTACCAGGACCCGTTCAAATCGGTCCGGCCATTTCGAGGATTCTCCAAAACGAACAAACAAAGACAAAACATTTTTTTATGCATATAATAATGTTTATTACTTGTTATAATAATAATCTTTATTAAAAGATGACAATTCAACTTTATTGATTAGTGTATATTAAAATTTGAAACCACTGTTAAATGATCTTAATATGCCTCTAAACCCGACATAATAATATGGCATTTGCTTATCTTTCTTGACATATCTATACTAATAAAATCTACAGTGGTTTTACGGATGTTCCGTTATAACTACTAAACCATGCATCCGATTGACTTGAAACTTGGCATCCATGTAGAAAATATATGTATTTAATGGATAGGCTAATATTTATATGAGTGTTGAACTCCCTACACCAGTTGCGGGGGCGTTAATTATGAGAATCTTTGTGGGGGTGAGAAATAATATTGTTAATTTTAAATGCCCAGCGAAGCGGCCGGGTACAGCTAGTACTGTCTAAATTAGGTAAAGTGAAAATGTCATCTATATCTACCTCTGGATACACCTTTGTTTAAAATAGGATTCTTGCCCTTCCGACCGCAAAGGTGGCGTGAAATGTCATCGGACATTGCCTGCTGATCTGTGAGAACATGTCCTATTGCAACGGATAATTTTAGGCGACACCTAATGAATACACCAGTGTCTCTATTAAATTCTGTGATAGGGATTTTAGTTCTGCTTCCGTAGACAGTTCGCTGTTCGACTGATTTTGAAATTCGAGTAAAACGAATGGACAATTAAACACACAATAAAAAAAAACAGTTTCTATCCAAGTCGGCTTTTAACACGTTGAACGCCAGACTAGAACCCATGTTTAGCCCAGTGTGCCGCGGAGGACAATAAGTGACCGTCATTAAGTTGGGTAAAATAATGATTACATATAGCTTTTTTTTTCCGTATGTCCCCCACATTATTTTGTGTTATTTCTTGACAATATTTACGAAAAAACACCCCAAATATATATATTGGAGTGCGTGCGGCTCTAGAGGAAAGTACGGCTTTGATACATGGTGTCCGTCATGGCGTTCAACGTCTTAAACGTGCGCTTTGAAATCGTCCCAGAATTTGGGCACACCACAAACTTTTACAATTCATTACATTATCAATAAATACTTCAAAAAGACGATTGTGAGTCCATACGAGTAGGTATCACCACCCAGCCTATTTCTGCCGTGAAGCAGTAATGCGCTCCGATTTGAAGGCTAAGGCAAGGGTTGTACTAATGAAACTTAGAACTTATAACACTAGATGGGTGGCGGCATTTAGGTTGTCGACGTCTATGCGCTCCAGTAACCACTTAGCACCAGACGGGCCGTGAGCTAATCCAGGGCAATAAAAACAAAAATCTATTTGCGTTTTGTCTCGCGGTCACTTTTTTTTTTATTGCATAGTTTGGTGGATGAGCTCACAGCCCACCTGGTGTAAAGTGATTACTGGAGCCCATAGACATCTACGACGTAAATGCGCCACCCACCTTGACATATTAGTTCGAAGGTCTCAAGTATAGTTACAACGGCTGCCCCACCCTTCAAATCGAAACGCATTACTGCTTCACAACAGAAATAGGTTGGGTGGTGGTACCTACCCGCGCGGACTCACAAGAGGTCCTACCACAATCACGTTCGTAGTAATAGAAGTTCTGGTGCCATTAAGCATACCACGCCGACACTGAAGGCTCTTTTGTAACAGGTGGAACCTGACGAAGGGTACGAGGCTCTGGAAAACAATCGCATCTCGAACGTGATTGATGAACCAGCGCACTGCTATAGCTCCCCGTGTGTGACCAACGGCGATTGCTGCGGCGGACTCCTGTGTCTGGAGACCGGTGCGTTTTCTTGATGATCAGTAGACTCTACTCCATTGTGCTAGAATATCCTAAGCCCGATACGAATGAGAGAAGTAGTTGCATACTGCAATCGTCATGCAGTATCCTGCTTATTTTTAGCGCGCAGAAATCATGATTCCCGGTTTGAAGGGTGGGGCAGCCGTTATGCAATCGGATAGTGCGACCTCATATCTCAAGGTAACTGGCGGTACTAACGCTGCCATGGATATAAAATCCGCTGCTTTTACTGGTGGTAGGACCTCTTGTGAGTCCGCGCGGGTGGTTACCACCACCCTGCCTATTTCTGCCGTGAAGCAATAATGCGTTTCGGTTTGAAGGGTGGGGCAGCCGTTGTAACTATACTTGAGACCTTAGAAATTATACCTCAAGGTAGGTGGCGCATTTACATTGTGGATGTCTATGGGCTCCAGTAACCATTTAACACCAGGTGGGCTGTGAGCTCGTCCACCCATCGTCATACAGTATCCTGCTTATTTCTAGCGTGCAGAAATCATGCTTCCCGGTTTGAAGGCTCGCTTGAACCTCATGTCTCAAAGTAAGTGGCGGTACTAACGCTGCCATGGATATAGAATCCGCCACTCGAGACCAGAGCGTCGACACTGCCAAAACTGGATAATTAAGAAAACAAGAACTCATAGAAATAACGCCAGTATAAAAACTTCGTGTTAGCATCATTAATTACTTTTTGTCGACTGTTCAATAATTAATTTGAATTTAATTCCGAGTGAAAGCAATCAAATTTAATTAACTAACATAACAAAATAGGTTTTTCGTGGAAATTTTAATTTAATGCGATTATTTATTTGCGTGTTAATAAAATAATCTTAGTTAATTGGGTGAGAATTAATCATTGTTATCACGAATAATATTTGTTGGCGGATTTTAATAAGTAGAGAAGTTAAGTTTAGTTAAGTAGAGTAAGCAGAACCACGAAAGCTCTCGTTTATTTCTTAAAGCTCGCAAACTATTTTATGAATAAAGGAGATACTAGAAGAGAACTACGACCGAAGATCTTACATACTCTGATAAACACGCTGGTTGGTCGGAAATCTGATCCGATCCGAAACCTGACCATCTGGTACAAAAGCCAGAATCGCTAACCACTATACCAACACAAGCCTCCTTCGAGATCTTCATCGAACGTGTTTTAAATAAAAGTACCTTTTGGTTACGCCCGCCTTAAATTTGTATTCTAGGAAGATGGAAACGCGTTGCTATTTCCCGTGAAACAGAGTGGCCTATATCGTTCTCTGGATTCCTACATCTGGTTCCTGAATCTATCAATCGATCTCTCGTATTTTAAGAATCAGCGTAATCCAGGTCTTGTCACTGGTCACGACAAGAACAATATTATGTTTTCTTCTTCTTCGTCACTACAGTATTGGTAGACTGATCGCCTCTAGCTAATCAAGACAAAGTCTCAACTATTCTCAAGTAAATCTAATCCCTGGAGAAATAACTGCATTTTAAAACGAAACTGGGATATACTCTCCAAATTATTACAACACCAATCAATGCCTCTAATATAAATTCGATATATCGAATTCTTTTTGGAATTGTCACAATCCATCCGTGTACTGTTTCAACAACAGAATTTTCTCCCCTTTTTTATACTGCTTTAAATGGTTAACGTAGCCGGCAGACATCAACAATGTAAGTGTCGCCACCCACCTCAACATGTGAGTTCTAAGCCTCACTTTTATAGTACAATCGCTACCGAGTTCTAAGGTCTGAGCTTAGTTACGGCTACCCCACCCTTCAAACCGAAACGCATTACTGCTTCACGACCGAAATAGGCAGGGTGGTACACACCCATATGGACCCACAAGACGCTAAACCACCAATAAAATGTGCATATTGTCTTTTACCTTATGAATTAATACTTTTATCAGATGATTGAAAAGTTTGGACCTTGTATTTTCCTAAAAAAATATTATACAAAACAATCCTCCTTTCAAACCCAGTGACTACACAAACACACACAAAAATGAAAATCTAATAATTGCTTGTCAAACACACGACAGTGCTGACTCCATACTGTTTGGTATGATTGTTTGACCCAACTCAAAAACACAAATGCGGATGAGAGATGTGTTTTTAAATCGGGAACACTGCGGGGCTTCTAATAACGCATGTGATAACAAAATGGCCGACAGAAACTATAGGGAATTTACGTTCAAAGTTATCCTATACAACTTGAGTGTGTAATCTAAATTTGACGACCCATGTCACATTAGCAGAGAACAAAATGTCCTTTTTTTAGTATGCGGTAAAAACTGTACGCCCAGAACAGGTTTAGTGCTAGGGATTTGGTACTATGTCACCATGCTATTATGAAGTAGGGGGATTTTAAATTCCTTCCTTTGAAAATCCTTCACAAGGCAACACTGTACAAGTGGATTGTTCGTCAGTTGTCTAATAGGCCATTTTCTTGTACTTAAAGTCAAATTGTATGTACTAATTAAAATGCTTTCTAAATTTTATTTGCTACTAGCTGACACGGCAGACTTCGTAGTGCCTCAATCGATAAATAGAAGATAATGTATGCATTATATTCAGAGCAGACCAGGCCCTGAGTTAATTGAAGATTCTGGTAGGTATTGAAACTGCGCTTCGAATCTCTAAAAATTACATGACCTTAATTTAAAAGTGCTTTCAGAGGCCTTAAGGAAAACTTTGGTTTTTTATTGATACTAAAACACGAGCTTTTTGGTTTCATTTCCAAGTTAAGATATTATTGTACGTGTTGGTCTAAAATAGCAATACCTCATTTCTTCCTGTGGATGTCGATAAATGCCTCTAAGATTTAAGGACTTTAAAGTCGTCGTGGCCTAAAGGATAAGACGTCCGGTGCATTCGTATGTAGCGATGCACCGGTGTACGAATCCCGCAGGCGGGTACCAATTTTTCTAATGAAATACGTACTTAACAAATGTTCACGATTGACTTCCACGGTGAAGGAATAGCATCGTGTAATAAAAATCAAATCCGCAAAATTATAATTTGCGTAATTACTGGTGCTAGGACGTCTTGTGAGTCCGCACGGGCAGGTACCACCACCCTGCCTATTTCTGCCGTGAAGCAGTAATGCGTTTCGATTTGAAGGGTGAGGCAGCCGTAGTAACTATACTGAGACCTTAGAATTTATATCTTAAGGTGGGTGGCGCTTTACTTTGTAGATGTTTATAGTCTCCAGTAACAACTCAACACCACGTAGGCTGTAAGCTCGTCCACCCATCTAAGCAATATATATATCTGAAAATAGGCAGCAACATTCTTCAGGTATTATACCATGGTCCTATAGCTCAGGATTTACTGCGAGAAAAGCCTATCGTTACATCATACGAGCATTTATACATTCCGCCGATTTCTGACACGAGGTAGTTCTTCGTTCCAACTTGAAGGGTGGGGCTACCGTTGTGACAGATACAAATGAGAATCTACCCCCCCATTCCGCAATGGGTAGTCACGTCTATAAGTCCCGGTAATCAAAGTCACGGCTAATGCTTCCCTAAAGTCGTATTTTCTTGCTAAAGTCTTCCAAGTTGTTACGCTCCGAGCTTTTTATGCTAAACGTGTCGTGCTTGAAACAAATAAAACTTTTATATGCACGAAGTTTTAATGGTAATAGAAGTTGCCTCGTAAAAGGAACTTTATTTTTCTACGACTTACCGGTATTGTTGATAATGAAGACATTGCGGTTCTTAACGCATTCGAAGATACGATAACTTATGTCCTAAATCGTAGTGACTTTAATAAGAATAAAAGCCTCATTTACATAAAGTATTATAGAAATAAAATAACATTAAATATATGCACTGTGGACGAACGCAGCTGTTCCCATCTATACTAATATTATAAAGCTGAAGAGTTTGTTTGTTTGAACGCGCTAATCTCAGAAACTACCGGTCAGATTTAAAAAAAAAATCATTGTTAGATAGCCCATTTATCGAGGAAGGCTATAGGCTATATACCATCACGCTAAGACCAATACAAGCGGAGCATCAATAAAGAATGTTTCAAAATCGGGTTGTTTCCCTTTTGAGAGCTTCCGCTGCGTGCGCTGCAGAAACGGTTAAAGTTTCGCTAAAATAATCTATGACAGAATTGTTCCCCTTTAAAGGATCTAAAAAAAAAGTCCGCGACATATGTTAAGTTTGGCTCACTATAGTGACGTTTTTTAACGTTATAACGTTTTTTATGCTAACCAAATTTGTTCTAAAATAAAGCATTATTTGTGAACTATTTGACGCGGACGAAGTCGCGGGCAAAAGCTAGTTATTAAATATAGGAACAACCTATTCATTCTGTAAACTTTGCATATTAATTACAAAAATGCTATTTAATTATGGGCCATTAAAGGCCAATTTACGGGTCAGGGACCAAACAAACCTCCGCTAGGGGCACGGCGGCCGAATGTTGTAAAGGCCAGGGTCGAGGATGTTAAAAGCCCACCCACTAAACGCCTCCAATGTCCTCTCGCCCGACACCCAAGCCCCGCCAGACACAGAACCCCGGCTATGTAGGATAATAGATATGATTCCTTATGTTAAATGGTTAAGAATACCGATAGTGACCAGTGTGAATGCGCCCATCTAGTTTGAGACTGGCACGGCTGACCCATTGCTAACAATACGTCATTATTTCTCCATCGCTAAGGCAATTCGTAAATCAAGAACACAGGTTTATTAACGGATTCATTGGCGAATAAAATATGAATTATTCTAATACTGTTAGATTTATATTAAATGAACAGTACTAATTTTTATTGAACTTTATCTACTGGTGGTAGGACCTCTTGTGAGTCCGCACGGTTAGGTACCACCATTTTGCCTATTTCTGTCGTGAAGCAGTAATGCGTTTCGGTTTGAAGGCCAGGGCAGCCGTTGTCCTGTTATATTGAGACTTATAACTGTTATCTCAAGATGGGTGGTGGGATTTACATTGTAGATGTCTATGGGCTCCAGTAACCACTTAAG